CGAACTGGAGGAACAAAAATGAATAGCATTATAAATATGAGATTTGTCAGATATATAAGCGCTGTCTCATCCCCTAATCCTGAAGTCAATAGATTTGATTTTTTTCTTTTATTTTTTAAAAATGCCTTTATTATAAGTTAAAAATCTGGGAAGGCCTTCTTTCTATCTTCCCCAAGACTTTATAAATAGGGACAATATAACAAGTTTTTCATTTAAAAAGATTATATTTGGAATGGTAAAAGATGTTATTCATAAATTAATCCAACTTCTAAAAGGCAATAAAATCCTCAAGCAGCCGGAGTACCAGGTTAAGTAAGGTCGCCTCATCATCCAGAATTTATAGCTTCATTTCTATTCTTAATTAGGTTTGCCTGACAAGGAAAAACTGTTCCCAAATGGCACTCTTGGATAGATTTCCAGGTCTTTAGCACCACCTGATAGCATTTCTCTCCCACTGGCCCTCTGGGTTCACAACTACAATTCTCTCTCCTTTTCATCACTGCAATTATTGGAAACCTCCTTTGAATATAGCACATCATTGGGATGTAAAAATAGAAGTCAAAATTCACTGGGTTATATGTGATTGTAGTTTCAATGAGCATGTGTACTGGGTCATCATGAATGCTGATGCCACAAAGGGAAGATACAGGAACTGAAAGACATCAGGTTCAACTATATTTACAGGGCAGCCATTTCCTAGATACGGTTTGTGTGGCAGAAGTTGCAGGTTATTTATCACAGGCATTCGTCTGAGTTTGACCTGGAGCAGGATTCAGTACAGACTACAGACAAATCATTGTGACTATCAGTCAACACAAAAAGCATGAGTCTCTGTTGTAACATGCCAGAGATCTTCATCGCTGCAAATATCAGTCCCAAGGTATCACAGGAAATCCAATGTTTTTTTTTTTTTTTTGAGACTCACTCTGTCGCCCAGACTGGAGTGCAATTGCCACTCCCGGCCACCGCAGCCTCGACCTGCTGGGCTCTGGTGATCCTTCCGCCTCAGCCTTCCAAGTAGCTGGAACTACAGGCG